AATGGCGTCGTAGCGCGCGGCCCCTTCTTTCGATGGCGGCTCGATACGCATCGCATTTACATATTATTGCTATTATTAGGTAAACGATCCTCCGCCGAGCGCCTCTTTAACACTACCCGCTCGCTCGCTCGCTCGCTCGCTCGCTCGCTCGCCCCCCGGGCTATTTTACGATCGTGGGGTCCCGCGCGCGAGCGGGGGGCCCCTCCCCCTCCGCGCGCTCTGATAAAAGCCCCGAGCTTGAAGCTCTCGCCGACAGCGTGCTCGGCACGGCGACAAAAATTGAAGCACGACCCGGGCCGCGAGAGTGGGTGGCTGGAATTGTAAATAATCGTCCTGCGGGGAGATCGTTATCGGGCGTACACGGCGCTATCCCTGTCCTCGCCGCCGGCGAGCGAGGACTATCGATGTCCGTGGCGTCTCCTCCTAAATCGATTTCGCCGGCCAGCCCGACGTCTTTACACGTGAGGAGACCGCGCTTATGGGGGTATTAATTAACGAACGGGACTTAATTCTTATTCTCGAGATCCGCGCGATCGCACAGACTGGATTTCCCGAACGTGCAGTACGAGGGGGGCTGAGGGTACAAATTTGCGGCGTTACTAGGCATTAGTTCGGACATTAGGCTTTGCTGCGGCATTATAAAGATAAAATGAGACAAAGTCATGCCCACTGGGCATTAGTAGACATTGGTGTGCATACACGATTTTGGCCAGCGGTTTACCCCTCGGTGCAATACAGAGCGGAGTCATTGAACCAACGTTAGAGTGTTAATTAATCGGTATTGCTTGAAATACTTTGAAGCACTTGTGAAAATATTCATGAATTTGTGTCCTCTCGTTACTTTGAAGAGTGCCTCGAATATCGCCGAGATTATCGGAACCGTCGCCATAGACGTAGAATATTATGAAATATTTACTGCGTGATATCACCTTAAAAAATAATATTTTTTAAAAAGAAGGTAAAAAAGACGTATAAGTGCCATCCAATCAAGAATTATACAATTTAATTATTTGAATATACTTTATTAGAAAAAAAAACATTTTTAGCTTCTCTACAAAAGTAATGATGTCATTAAATTGCGCTAAAATGGACTTGTACAAACTTTATTGTTTTAAAATTATTTCGAAGATAAGAAGTTAAATAGTTGAAATCGATAATTGACGTACGATTGTATACCCGCATTTTTCCCTTTCCCGTCCCATAATCACGAATGGCGTAGATACTCGAAAATTATGTTGCACGCCCTTTAGAACTTGCTAAATCGAGCCCACTTAAGGTGCACGCTTAACGAACAAATAAGAGAATCACAGTTCGTATAAATTATAATTTTATTTACAATCTAAAGGAGGTGATCTCCGTGACAAGCTTAACATCCACGAGTTTCTGACGCCGGCAGCTGATGTGATCGAGATACCGGCCACCCCGTATCTCCTCGTATAATTGCTTCGCGTTTCTCGTCGCTCCTTTTTAAGGACGCTCGTAACGGCGTGGTCGCATAGCTAGACCGCATGACGCCGGGCCCGCATTAAAGCCGCGCTTTTACGGGGGTCGGGAGCCTCTCCCCCTTTCCCACCCATCTCTTCCGTCGAGTCCAAACGAGGCAAGAAGGGCCCGAGTGGTCCCCGATAAAACAGAACGCGCAGAGATAGAATCCAAGAAGAAGGGAGAAGGAAGTGTTCCAAATCGTGGCTGAGGGAAGAAGGAAGGAGAGGGTTGCATGCGAGCGGGTACGCGCATACAATGGGGCCCCGGGGGTGGGAGGAACTGGGAGAGCAAAAGCGGCGAATTAATTGTCGCTCGCGCCGCCGACGAAGCCGCTGCGATCTACGGACCTGATTTGTGGGCCGCGCGTATATATCACCGTGGCCACACGCACACGCGTGTACGTGCATGGGTCTCGCTGCCTCCTTCCATATATACTCTCGTCTCTTTCCCCCTTTTCCACTCGGAGTCTCGCACGGCGGAGGCTGCGTGGACGATGTGACTGCACCGAGACGGGCCGGGGAGGCTGACAATGGAAACGAGCCCAGAGAAGGAGAGGGTACGCGCGCAAGGGAGAAAGACGGAAAACAACGAGGGAAGAAGAGAGAAAGGAAGAGACAGGAGGGCGGTGAGGTAGAGCAAAGAGGGACGAGGAGAGAAAACAGGAATAAGAACAGGAGCGAGAGGACCGCGCGTGACGTACACGAAGGTGAGCTCCGAAGGGGGGGGGGG